GGTTCTTCTATGTTTTTTTTTTTCCTCTTTATATTGTTATTAGTTTTTATTTTTTAGGTTTTGGGTCTTGAGGTTGATTTTGGAATTGCCTTTTGAAGAAGTTCTGTGGCTGTTGCCAAATTATGATCAACTAAGAGATGATCTTAGTGTCCTGGTGGTTAATTGGAAGTAAAAGGGATTAGAAAATCTTTAGCTTTTCTGATAGGAGAGTAGAACTTGAAGTTGATTTTCTTTCTTTAGTCAATATCTAATCAAACAGAGGATGAATACTGTTTTGATGGATACATTAGAATGTCAAACTAGATCTACAAGTAGAAGACAATCCTAATAAACATGCAGCTTAATTTAGTTTTCCCTATTGTGCTGAAATAACTATTATGTATCATACATGAAGTGCGGTTTATCCTTGGGGCTATTTAGAACTTGTGTGGTATCATATTCATGTAGTGTGGTTATCCTTATTTTTATGAAATTGTGTGGTGTTATTCATGAATTCTCACTTTTTTTCATCTTTGTATGCTTAGCTAATTGCTTTAGTCATCTTCCATTTTTGAGTCTTATTGTAAACCCAGTCCATTGTCAAGATATTGTGTATTTATACACATCCTCTTGATTCGGAACTTAGGACTTCACTTTAGAAATGAATCATGAGTACCAATCTTGACAGTGGGCCGGTTGTTACACTTGTAATGTTTGAAATTTTTATCTGTTTGACTACGTATGTATACCTGTTTCTTCTTCTCACCTTCATTTTGTTTCTGTTTGCTAGAGAGCAGAAGAAGCCACATCCCACCAAGTGATGGGACCTTGCCATCATCCTTTAGCACAATACAATTTTGAACACATTCAGAGTAATATGTCTTGTCCCTTTTATGTTTTATGGATTGTTTGTTTCATTCATTTGCTGTTTAAATTTGGAATTTCTAGAAATTAATATGGTAGTTTTCTGCTTTCTGCTCATTTCTTTTCTCTTACAGGTGTGAGGAGCCTAAGTTTTTCCTCTTTTCGTGAACGCCTTTACCACTTACAGGCAAATATTTATCTCATTCTTTACCTCTTTAATTATTATCTCATTGAGCTGTCTTTCTAACTATTTTATGATACACACTCTTCAGAGAACCGAAAAGACCGGGTTTGCTTTGGTAGATCTGGGATACATGCTGGGGCCTCTTTGCGCGTAGATATTCAGAAGGAGAAATGGTGTGTGAATTAAAAAAGTCAACAATTTATGGTTTTTAAAGCATGTTTTTCACTTTTTCAAGTGCTTGTTTGCTAAGGAAACTTTCTCTGGGATGAATTTCTCATGTTTCTATCATGGTCTATGGTGTCAGTGAAGGTCCAATGGCTTGGAATTCTTCTATTGTTTGTGTTAGTAGCATTACCAAACTATTTATGTGCCATTTCAAGGTCCCTACCAGAAAACTGTGTGAATGGAACACAGATTATTTTTATGCTTGTATTTGTTGATGTGATTCCTTTAACAGATTACACCCACATGTCTTTTTCAGGTTCTGAGTATCGTGTGAACAGGTGAGGCCAGTATTGCAGACTTGAGAGAGCTCGCTACAGATTAGAAGGAAAAGACTGCTATGTAGTTAACTTTCCTGCTCTTGTAATCTGCAAGTTTTTCTTTTAAGTTAAAATGTAGAAGTTGTGTTGATGTTGGATGAGTCCCTGAGTTCACTCTTTTGGCACCTTTGAGAAAACATAACATGATCTAAAACAGCAAACAATTTTTCTGTCATCTGCCCCTTTATTTCTTAAGATAAAATGTGCAAGCTTTTATTTTGCAGCTTTTCAAGATCAGTGAAGAGTAGTTGTTGATGCCACTGATAAAGGAACATGCTCGCTTAATCAATCATTCGGTAATTATGCATATTAAGTTAATTATAATGCAGGATTTCACCTCTTTGCTATGAATCTCCAGCCCTGAGATAGCTACTTGTTTCTCTACCAGTTATCATATCTTATTATGGGTCTATTCCCTTATTGATACAGTGTATGCCCAACTGCTATGCGAGGATTTGATGGTGGGTGATGATGAGAGTCGATTGTCCTCATTGCCAAGACTAGTGTATCTGCTGGTGACGAGCTAACGTATTTCTCTCTCCCCTTGCTATCAAAATTGTATTGAGGAAAATTATAATAACCAAGAGATGGAGACAAGTCTAAGTTAATTGACTTGCTTCATTGGTTGGTCTCTTCTCCCTTATTGTTGCTTTCATGTATTAAAGCCAAATCAAATTAATTTGTCTTGTTATAAATTTCTTCAACAAGATTGCAATTGGGCTGGTCTCATTATACAATGATTCACTTCCAAAGTATTAAATAAATAAAGAGTAAATAACATTTTCCCACCCAAGGTTTGGCGAATCTTCAGTTCCCACCCCTGGTTTCATAAATTGCAAATTCCCACTCTTAAATTAATGCCATTACTTTTTTCTCAAAATAACCCCTTAATCTCAAATTTCTCTCAAATAACCCCTAGAGGATCCCGGCCAAGCCAAGAATCTGGCCTGATTCTTGGCTGAAAAAGGGCAAAAAAATGTAAAAACTTAAGGGAGAGGCGACAGCGATCGATGGGCAATTGCAGTCGGAAATATTGGAGGTTTTGGTGGGGGGAAGCCGACGATGCTATTGGTGGTCTTAGGGGTGGTTTTCGGTGTAGGGACTTGCCATAATTTGGATGAAATGTTGATTGACACTAAAAGCGACGGTCGACGATTGGGGGGTTTAATTAAGCGGGGAGGTTAAGGGTTTTGATGTGGGGGTTAAGGGGATTGTAATAGTGGTGTCAAGAGGGGTCAATTGTGCTGGAAACAGGTCGGAATGACTTGAAATCACTAGTGCGGTGAATTAGAGAAGTGAAGGGTTATTTTGAAATTTTCATCTTTGAAATGACCATCTTACCCTTTTAACTGTTAGATTAAACAGTTATCTGTTAATTTAAGGGTGTGAATCTGTAATTTATGAAACCAGGGGTGGGAACTTTAGATTCTCCAAACCTTGGGTGGGAAAATGTCGTTTACTCATAAATAAATGAAGATTTTTGGGTAATCAAGTTGCAGATTCATTGGCTAAATCGTGGTTTGCAGCATAATCAAATCTTAACATTGGTCAATCAAAACCAAACCATCTTCTTCTCTTCTCCTTGAATACTCTTTCTTCCCTTCATCTATTATTTCTATCTTCTTCCAAATTCTTTTCTTATTCATTAACATTATAAACATTAAACATATGTTAAAAGATTTGAAACCCAATTTGTAGAAAACTCATCTCACTCGCAATCACTTCCTTCCATTGCTTCTGCTTCTCAGCATAAGCAGAACCAAAAACATGCTTTCACTATCAAAACATTTCATGATTTCATCATCCAAACTTTATATGCAACTAAAATAACAAATCATATAATACACGTATCCAAAGGGTAAATATCAACATGAACAAGAAGTTGAAGTAGTAAAACCACGGAAATATGTGCCACTTATGGATCGATGTTCGGCAACACCAACTACTTCCCGGCTATTTCACCGCCCAAATCAGCTGTTTTTTCAGGTCTGAAACTTACGAAGTCCATTTTGTTGGCCGGCTGCCTCGTTTTGTTTACCCCAACTTAACCCATTAATTACTCTTCTTCTTCCTCTTCCTCTTCAACAGATGCTACAGTTCTTCCTTCTTCTTGCTCGACTTTCTCTGTATTCAAAAACAAAATCCCTTATGCTTCTGCCATCAAAATTACAATACACCCACCCATCTACCAAAATACCTAACAAAAAATTCACATAATAAAGGTGGTACCACTTAACAAACAAATCACATTCTCTCTCTTCCCTGAACATCCACCATAAAATTAATTCAACAAAACAAACCCATTTATGAAATAGCTAATTACTTTCAATCATTCCAGCATCATAAAATTTGAACAGACGTCGATTCTTCACTATTCTATTCTGACTACTCCTGTATTCTTCAAATGCTTTGTCGATTTGTCTTCTTCATATCATATCCAGACTTGGGAGTAACACAGATCCATAAACCCATATATCAAAAAGCCCCCCCAAATTTATCATGATAGTTGAAGTTCCTTAATTCCATCGCACATCTCTTCCAAGAATCGGATTTATGTCAAGATCTATTGGAAACAATGAAAATCTTTCACTACATAAACAACATCAAGATCATCCCGTTCATATTATATATATAAAAAAAAAAAATTACCCAATAATGGCAAAAGGACATAATAGCCAATACTTCATAAAAAAATAAATTAAAAAACAAATTCATATTCATATAAAGCGACCTTTTCATTTGAACTTCGTTCACAGTGGCCATCATCTTTCTTTCCATATCCAAATCTTGCAGAAAATTCAACACAAAAATCACTACATCTAAACCCCAAACCCATATCGTAATTATCTCAAAATTGCAAAAAATCCCACACCCACCAAACCAAAAAAAATACAAAAAATTGCACAAAATTTGGCCCCCTCCACCTTCGCCATATTCAAATTTGCAGACTTATAATAAACACACAAATCCACCTCAAAGTCACAATTCACAAACATCATCTTTCCTTCCATTAAATCAACAAATTTCACCACCAAATCAAATAGTCCAAACCTTAAAACACTAATAAAACCCGACATGTCGAATTCTCATATTTCCAACTTTCTTGGAACCAACCACACACCAACACAACACTTCAAAATCCATAACCAAAAAAAAGAAACACAACACAATAAAGCAATCCACCAATACACACGAGATAGAGGAAGAAGAAATGCGCGCATTCAACACATAGCGCAAATTAGCCACAGCCCATTACCAAAACCGAAACCATCACATGTTTAAATATTCATTCACATCTCACCATTTTAGATAACGCCCGACCCAAACATCTCTCTGTCACTCCTCCCTTATTTTCTCTCTCTAAAAAACTTGCCTATTAAACAAACAAAACTCAAAAAATTAATTATTAATTAAACCCCTATATATTTCAGTTAATTTTTTACTGAATATTATCGTCTAAATTTTATTTTATTCTTTATTTTAAAGCAGTTAGATGGAGAGGCTCGTCGACTCGACGAAACAGATCTCTCTGAATCTTTGAAATTCCATCTATTTCTCCTCAAATTCTCGCAATCTTGATTTCTCCTTTTCAATTCAGCTCTAGTGTGGTTGTTTTGGAGATTGACTGAGAGAGATTGTCTCCTTGGCGTCGTTTTTTTTGGATTTCTCTATTGCTGTTGAAGGCCAAACCGATTGGAATTTAGGGTTTACGTTGCGAATTCGTAGAAGTGGGGTTTTGAGGGTTTGGAATTGCGGGGGAGTGGGAAGAAGCGAGGTCCTTTTGGTTTTTGATTGATGTGGTGATTGGTTTGATCGTTTTGTTTCGAGAATGATAATCAAGCGGAACTTAAAATCTCAAATGCCGAGTTTGAAACGGTGTAAACTCGGCGTCTCGGCTAAAGAGGACGATGAGAACTCAGCAAAGAGGAAGAAACGCAAAACTAATGGTTACTATCCGCTTAATCTACTTGGTGAGGTGGCTGCCGGTATTCTTCCGGTCAGTTTTCACGGAATTCTTAACGGTGCTCTGGCTGAGAAAGGATTTGCTGCGTCTTGGTGCACTGAAGTATCCTGTTCTCCGGATGAGGTGGTGTCGAAGTCGAAGGTCTCAGATTCGAGGAAATTGAAGAAGCGGACAGTGGAGGTTTCACGACCGCCGTTGGTGAGAACGTCACGTGGGCGAGTTCAGGTACTTCCTTCACGGTTTAATGATTCGGTTATTGAGAATTGGAAGAAGGAGAGTAAGACTAGCTTGCGTGATTATAGTCTTGATGATGAAACTGAATGTAAAAAGGAAAAATTTAGTTTTAAAACACCTAAGAGTTATAGTCACAATGTGAAGACTAAATTGAAAGAAGATAAAGTTGGGTGTAAGAGTCGTAGATATGGTACATTGTGTGAAGAAGAGGAGGGGGATGAAGTTAGGTTTAGTAAGAGTTTTGATATTAGGAAGTACTCAAGTTCTCGAAGTTCCTTGACGTCGTTACACGAGCAACAGTTGGTTGATGTTGATAATGACAAGTGCCAACCTGAGGAAATTGTTGATTTAACGAGTGAGGAGGCTTTTTTGAATGGTGAGAGAAAAGATGATGGGTTATATGGGCCAGAGGATTTTTATTCGTGTGACATAGTGTGGGCAAAGTCAGGGAAGAATGACCCTTATTGGCCGGCTATTGTAATTGATCCAATGACTCAAGCGCCAGAGCTGGTTTTGAGGTCTTGCATACCCGATGCAGCTTGTGTGATGTTTTTCGGGCATGCGGGGAATGAAGATCAAAGGGTATTGCTTTTTATGTTTAACCTTTTCAGTTTATGAGTTTGTATGATGTTATTAATATGTTTAGGAGATTTTGGCTTTTAATTGTGGTGCATTGAATGATCAATGAACAGGATTATGCCTGGGTCAAACGAGGAATGATATTTCCATTTGTAGACTTCATGGACAGGTGGGCAGCAGTGTCGGTTCATGTAACGTTTTAATTTATGGTTATGTCGTTTTGTGCTTAGGTGCGAATTTGCTTGATATAGGTTCCAAGAGCAGTCTGAATTGATTGACTACAACCCCAGTGACTTCCAGATGGCACTCGAGGAGGCTGTTTTGGCAGATCAGGGGTTTATAGAGAAGTTGATGCATGATATAAACATGGCAGCTGGGAACCCTACTTATGATGAATCCGCTCTTCGATGGGTTCAAGAGGCTACTGGTTCAAACCAGGATCTGGACTATCCCTTTTCAAACCAGGCAAGTGTCTATGTAGTGTTGTCTTTTTCTTGACCTTATTCTTTTTAACTTCTAGTAACTGTATTTATGGAGTCGCTTGACTTACCTCAGCCAACCCTGTATTACAAAATTTTTCTATGTATGATAGTTACCTCAAACTTGCTTGGACGTTATATCGTAGAATTCTAAACTAAAGTGATGATGGTGCTATAAACTCTGTCTGGTTTCAGGAATAGTGCTACCAAAATTTTGAGGGTCATTTAAGAGATGTTCTTCTATTTTGTTTTCTTACAAATGCTCAATAAGAACAAAGCTGCTAAGATAACATTTTTATTCTCTTTCCTGTCATCAGTTTCTGAAACATGCGTTGGCTAATTGGTATTTGAGAGTAAAATCAAGCAATGTCCTAAAAATCTGAAACATCTTTTCATCCAGAAAACTTTGAACATTTTATTGGTTGGGATCTGAGAAAAATACTTCTTTTCTATCAGATGTAATATTTATTTCTTTCTACTTAGGAGTTTCCGTTTCTATAGTAGGCATTACAGTTTTTACCCTATAGTTTAAAACCTTTGTTTACTCCATTATTTAAGGATCCAGTTGGAGGGTGGCATTCAGTTTTTCATGAAATAATTTCCTGCCTTAGCATCTTTAAATTGAATTTAGTTCTATCCATGCAGGGTGTTTTTGGAAAGAGTAAAGATACAAGACCCTGTGATGGCTGTGGCATGAGCCTTCCTTTTAAATCAAATAAGAAAATGAAGGCTTCAACTATTAGAGGCCAATTTTTATGTAAAACATGTGCTAAGGTATGTAGTAGCTGTGTTATCATCTTGCTTACCTTATTAAAGTATAATGTGCCTATATTATGATTCAAGTCGTTTTTGTGCTTAGTTTTTGTATTTTCTCACAACCATATGCATTGTTATGCCAGTTAACAAAGTCAAAACATTTTTGTGGCATATGCAAGAAAGTTTGGAACCATTCCGATAGTGGGAGTTGGGTGAGGCAATCTACTGTCTGTTTAGAGTTGTGGTTTTTTCTTCTTCTTTTTTCTTGAATGGAATGGCAAATTTCTATTTATTTATTGTTTGTATCTTCTCACTGGATTAGGTGCGCTGTGATGGTTGTAAAGTTTGGGTGCATGCTGCATGTGACAAAATTTCTGGCAGCCGTTTTAAGGTCCGTTCATCGTGTATAAATATTGTGTAACTGTCATGTTCTGCCTGCAAGATTAGCGCATGAATTCAGACTCCCTTGACTAGGTTTTCTTTTTCTTTTCTAAAGGATCTGGTGGGCACTGATTATTACTGCCCTGCTTGCAAAGCAAAATTTAACTTCGAATTATCAGATTCGGAAAAATGGCAGTCAAAAGTCAAGTAAGTGATTTATGTCATCTATATTTAACATTTATTTTTGAACTCATCATCTTATTTCATTCTCTTTCCCAGCAATATGTGATCTGATTTTTGTTTGAAGTTGGTTGTTTTCCTTTGCATCGATATCTAATGATTGTAGATCCATAAGCCATGATCTTGTATATTTTTCCTGAAAAATTTTGTGTGGCATTCTGACTGAAGTTGGATGCTTTATTTTACCATTCTATATCTGAAAATTGTAGAGTCTTTGATACAGATGCAACAAAAACAATGATCAATTGGCACTACCCAATAAGGTTACTGTTCTCTGCTCAGGTGTGGAAGGCATATACTATCCAAGTCTTCACTCGTAAGGAAAAAATAATTTAATGGCTTTTAGTATCTTATAATGATTGGTTTATCTTTTTGGGCCTTTAGCTGCCCTACCTAGAAAAGTCTGTGTGTTCTAAGTTCACTTTTATATTTTCTGTTTCAGAGTTGTATGCAAATGTGGGTCTTGTGGAACAGGAAAACTAGCTCTCAGTGAATGGGAAAGACATACAGGTTCCAAATTGAGAAATTGGCGGATTAGCGTTAGGGTGAAAGGTTCCATGCTACCACTAGAACAATGGGTTTGTACAGCAATTCTTTATTTATTTCTAAATTCATTCACATTGATTATCACTTGGTCAAGTTCATGTCTCTAGATGTTTGGAATGATCAATTATATGAAATTGAATTTATTGTGGATGGATAGCTAGTTGACATAATCATTTCTGTGCTAAAAAATAATTGTTTTAATAGTTATTATTGATTTATGTAATAATGTTAGCTTTAGGTTCAAAGTTGCGGTATCATGTTATATAATATCGAAATATTTTTGACTGATGGTGTAGTTGTCAAATTCTACATGTTGGAGGTATATGTATCATTTGAGGATAGTCTTTTGGTTAGACCCTTATAAAATATTGATCTATCAAGATCCCTGTCATGGACAGTGCTATCTTTTGACATGTATGGTATCTCCAGTTAAAAAATTATATATATTTGATTTCTCGTAAATCCATAATGTGTGTTTTGCATTAAGTATGGGGGCCTAATGCTATGGTGGTGGTGTAACTTGGTCTAGTGCCTTTGATTTGAATCACCAAGAAGTCCTGAAAAAAGCACCAAACTTATTATTATTATTATTTGTTTTTACATATAAAGGTTTTTAGGTGAATTCTTATCATTCTTGAAATAGTATCTATCTTTGAAGATCTGTGAAGCAAATCCATTGTAATGGTTACTGATCACAGGATGTAAAATAGGTTGAAAATTAACATGATAACTACAGATATCTCTGGCATTCAACTCTCATGTTCCATTTTTGGAGCATTCTCAGTATAAATTTTGCTCCTGCCTGGCTGCCCCTTCTTTTCCTTGCAAAAAGCCCCAATTTATTCTGGAAAAGAATAAAATAAGTTCTTGTTTGACCTTGCAGATGTTGAAGTTGGCAGAGTTCCATGAAAGTGCTCTGGTTTCTGTCAAACCTCATAAGCGACCCTCTATAAAAGAGCGGAAGCAGAAGTTGCTGGCTTTTCTGCGAGGTACTTCTGGGCTTTAAAATATATAAATTTGACAAATAGATAAATTAGAAGGGTATTTTCTGTTTTGTTGCACTGTTCAAAGTTTTCTTCTTGTTGATTGTATTAACTCTTATTTCTTCTATCACAGAGAAATATGAACCTGTTTATGCCAAATGGACAACAGAACGCTGCGCTGTATGCAGATGGGTTGAAGATTGGGACTACAACAAAATCATTATCTGCAACAGGTATTCTTAATGGGGGTTTTGTCTTATTTCATGGTGATTTAGCACCATTCAGGGGCACCTAATACATTGATGATTTATGGCACTGAGATTAGATAATCTGGCATGGTATTGACAGTGACACTTTCACATTATCATCATCATGCTTTATATTACTCTAACTGTGGCATATTGCACTTACACTTGCTTGCGAGCTGTCAGCCACGTTTTTACAGTATAGTCTTACAGAATGATGTTTTAGCAAAGGTTATTCCTTTAGATAGTTCGCCAACATATTTGCTGAGCAAGCAAGTCGTCTTTGTTGGCAGCAGATTCTAATATTTGTATTTTCAAAGTTTTTGTAATATTAATGATATTTTGGTATTTATATGTTTATCAGATGTCAAATAGCAGTACATCAAGAATGCTATGGGGCAAGAAATGTTCGGGATTTCACTTCATGGGTTTGCAAAGCCTGTGAAACACCTGATATTAAGCGGGAGTGTTGTCTTTGTCCTGTTAAAGGTAAGTCTATTAGATTTTTGGAATTTCATGTGTCATCAATTTTTTTGTTGTGTGTTTAGGTTGTTGATGTCTGTGTAGTATGATACCAGATAAAGTTGTCTTTAATGAAGCACCTGTTTCTTGTGGTGTCATACATCTTCACTATAAGCTATATTCTGCATTTCCTACAATTTCCCCTCATCTGGGTTGAGCCTGTAATAACTGCTGAATTACTTACAACGATTGAAGTTATGCAATAAGTACATATTCTCCCTTAAAGATGATTTTGGAACTCCTTTTATACAACTTCTTTGCCAAAAAGTTGTCATTTTGTGTGGATATTATTACTGAAGCAATTTTCTATTTTGAGTGGGTTCAGTGACCTTATTATGGTTCTACATCTGTATTTTCTTTCTCATCAGGCGGTGCTGTAAAGCCAACTGATGTTGATACGTTGTGGGTTCATGTGACTTGCGCATGGTTCCAACCTGAAGTCTCATTTGCAAGTGATGAGAAGATGGAGCCTGCTCTTGGGATCTTAAGTATTCCGTCAAATTCTTTTGTAAAGGTAAAGTTTTTTGAGTATTACATCAAATTCTTTTCTCTGATGGAGCCTGCTCAGGCTCTTTTGTAAATTTAAAGTAACTGGGCTTGCCTGCAGCCAAATCATATTGTTAATCATCTTTTAAAGAAATATAAGAAAGTTTAAAAGTTTCTTTTTCCCTAGTCTATGTATGTTTGTAACTGCCGTCTCTTAGATATGAGTCAGATGGCCTTTGCTGTGATGCTGGCAGTTTTTGAGAATGGAGTAGATTAATATAGCTAATGCATTCTGAATTATCTTGTTTCAGATTTGTGTTATTTGTAAACAAATTCATGGCTCGTGCACACAATGTTGCAAGTGTTCTACTTATTATCATGCAATGTGTGCATCAAGGGCTGGGTACCGGATGGAGGTGGGTTGCTCAGTGCTTCTTGTTTCTAGTCATAGTTGCTTGAAACTATTGTTTTGTTCATTACCTTTGTAAAATTTTCAAGGTTTGAAGGTATTGATGATCATATTTCTCATTTCTGGACATCAAGACATGTTCATTTGGTGTGTTATTTTATTTTTGAACTTATAGATGTGGATGCTTTGTTGGTATGCAATATCTTCTTGAAGTTTAAAATGCTAATGGGATGAAATAAAGCCATCTACTAAGAAAATAGAAGCCATTGACTGCTATTCATTTCATGTGACCCTTAACAAAAATTATGGAAAGATAACTCAGTATAGACTAGACAATATTGTGAAGGGTTATATGGAGGTCCCATGTCAATGAAATTGTGTTTCTTTCTCTTTAGTCTCCAAGTGTACTTTTTTGTTTTATTTTATTTCATTTTATTTTTGCTGAATCACTTATAGTCTTAATTGTAATGGTTGTTATATATAACTAAAAGAATGAAATAATGTTGAAATAAATGTGAAACAACATGAAAATTTTTCGTAAACAAAAGATATATATTATTTAACGTATGGACAAGCCCGTAATACTGCAGCAATAATGTGATGGATTTGTTAATCTGCAACAAAATAATATTAAGCACTACTTATTTAGTGTATATTTGTAACCCCTCATTTTTTCTTAAGTTTTTGTGTACTTTTAATTTGGTTTCAACAGCTCTTGCTGAATGCATCTGTTTGTCTCAAATGTCAAATCAATTAGCTGATCTTTCAATAATCATTGTATTCATCTATATTGTTTAAATTGCAGTTGCACTCCTTGGAGAAAAATGGAAGACAGATCACAAAAATGGTGTCATATTGCGCTTATCACAGGTTTGCCTTCACTGCTCTGGAAAGGGCCATATTTACATGGAAATATATGTGTGTATCTATTTCTATGTTCATTTTCATGGTTCTGTTTTTGATGCAGGGCTCCAAATCCGGATACTGTTTTAATTATTCAAACTCCTCTAGGCGTCTTCTCTGCCAAAAACCTTGTTCAAAATAAGAAGAAGGCTGGTTCAAGGCTTATTTCATCTAACAGAGTAAAGCTCGAAGAGGTTTCTCCAGTGGAATCTGCTGAGATTGAGCCATTCTCTGCTGCTAGGTGCCGTGTATTTAAAAGATCGAATAATAATAAGAAGGTAGCTAACATTTTTATATCTGTTTAAGGCTTAAGCATATTACTCTTTTTTCTTTTTTCCCTCTTTTCGGTGAATGATCATGCAATTATAGAATCCAGAGGCTCAGTTCCAAGAATATTTTAGTTTAAGAAATATTCTATATTGTATTGTACATTATGTCCAAAGGGTGCTACTGGGTTTTGTTCTTCTGTGTTTTCTTTTTTCCTCTTTATATTGTTATTAAGTTTTTATTTTTTAGGGTTTTGGGGTCTTGAGGTTGATTTTGGAATTGCCTTTTGGAAGAGTTCTGTGGATGTTGCCAGATTATGATCAACTAAGAGATGATCTTAGGTCTCTGGTTGGTTAATTGGAATAAAAGGGAGTAGAAAATTCTTTAAGCTTTTCTGATAGGAGAGTAGAACATGAAGTTGATTTTCTTTCTTTAGTCAATATCTAAATCAAACAGAGGATGAATATCTGTTTTGATGGATGACATTAGAATGTCAAACTAGATCTACAAGTAGAAGACAATCCTAATAAAACATGCAGCTTAATTTAGTTTTCCCTATTGTGCTGAAATAACTATTATGTATCATACATGAAGTGCGGTTTATCCTTGTGGCTATTATAGAACTTGTGTGGTATCATATTCATGTAGTGTGGTTATCCTTATTTTTATGATGAAAATTGTGTGGTGTTATTCATGAATTCTCACTTTTTTTCATCTTTGTATGCTTAGCTAATTGCTTAGTCATCTACCATTTTTGAGTCTTATTGTAACAACCCAGTCCATTGTCAAGATATTGTGTATTTATACACATCCTCTTGATTCGGAACTTAGGACTTCATCTTTAGAAATGAATCATGAGTACCAATATCTTGACAGTGGGCCGGGTTGTTACACTTGTAATGTATTGAAAGTTTTATCTGTTTGACTACGTATGTATACCTGTTTCTTCTTCTCACCTTCATTTTGTTTCTGTTTGCTAGAGAGCAGAAGAAGAAGCCACATCCCACCAAGTGATGGGACCTTGCCATCATCCTTTATGCACAATACAAAGTTTGAACACATTCAGAGTAAATGTCTTGTCCCTTTTATGTTTTATGTGATTGTTTGTTTCATTCATTTGCTGTTTAAATTTGGAATTTTCTAGAAATTAATATGGTAGTTTTCTGCTTTCTGCTCATTTTCTTTTCCTCTTACAGGTGGTAGAGGAGCCTAAAAGTTTTTCCTCTTTTCGTGAACGCCTTTACCACTTACAGGCAAATATTTATCTTCATCCGTTTACCTCTTTAATTATTATCTCATTGAGCTGTCTTTCTAACTATTTTATGGATACACATCCTCTTCAGAGAACCGAAAATGACCGGGTTTGCTTTGGTAGATCTGGGATACATGGCTGGGGCCTCTTTGCGCGTAGAAATATTCAAGAAGGAGAAATGGTGTGTGAATTAAAAGAGTCAACAATTTATGGTTTTTAAAAGCATGTTTTTCATTTTTCAAGTGCTTGTTTGCTAAGGAAACTTTCTCTGGGATGAATTTCTCATGTTTCTATCATGGTCTATGGTGTCAGTGAAGGTCCAATGGCTTGGAATTCTTCTATTGTTTGTTAGTAGCATTACCAAAACATATTTGATGTGCCATTTCAGAGGTCCTAGCTACGAGAAACTGTGTGAATGGAACACAGATTATTTTTATGCTTGTATTTGTTTTGATGTGATTCCTTTAAACAGATTAACAGCCACATGTCTTTTTCAGGTTCTTGAGTATCGTGGTGAACAGGTGAGGCGCAGTATTGCAGACTTGAGAGAGGTCCGCTACAGATTAGAAGGAAAAGACTGCTATGTGAGTTAACTTTCCTATGCTCTTGTAATCTGCAAGTTTTTCTCTTTAAGTTAAAATGTAGAAGTTGTGTTGATGTTGAGATGAGTCCCTGAGTTCACTCTTTTGGCACCTTTGAGAAAACATAACATGATCATAAAACAGCAAACAATTTTTCTGTCATCTGCCCCTTTATTTCTTATGAGATAAAATGTGCAAGCTTTTATTTTGCAGCTTTTCAAGATCAGTGAAGAGGTAGTTGTTGATGCCACTGATAAAGGGAACATAGCTCGCTTAATCAATCATTCGGTAAGTTATGCATATTTAAGTTAATATATAATGCAGGATTTCACCTCCTTGCTATGAATCTCCAGCCCTGAGATAGCTACTTGTTTCTCTACCAGTTATCATATCTTATTATGGGTCCCTAATTCCCTTTATTGATACAGTGTATGCCCAACTGCTATGCGAGGATTATGAGTGTGGGTGATGATGAGAGTCGGATTGTCCTCATTGCCAAGACTAGTGTATCTGCTGGTGACGAGCTAACGTATTTCTCTCTCCCCTTCTATCAAAAATTGTATTGAGAAATTTCACTACTCTTATTGATTATGTTATTGTATTTGGCAGGTATGACTACTTGTTTGATCCTGATGAGCCTGATGAATCCAAAGTCCCGTGTTTATGTAAAGCGCCAAATTGTCGAAAATTCATGAATTAGGATACACACAACACAGTCATTGTTTCTCCTCAAGGAGCACTAACCCAAATCCCGTGGGATCTTACATTCCTTATACTGAAATTGTAATTTTTGTCAGAAAGGAAAGTCTTTTTTTTTTTTTTTAAATTTGTTGTAGGTTTTGAACACTTTTCATGGTTAATAAAAGGAATAGATTTGCCTGCTTTTGGGCTACAGGCATTCGTGTAATGTTGTTAACACACTTTGATTTACATAATTAAATGGCTAACTCTTGGGGACCTCACGAATTCAAGCAATACAGCAATATTAAGGCAATTAAATCAGACAAAAAATGAAGATAATGAAATGGATTATGACAGTATTAATGAACTGGAAATGCAACTGCTTTATATATTAACAAGATGTGGATTAAAACTGATTCAAGAGTAGGAATCAGTAACCCTTCATTCACAATAAAACAAAAAAACAAGAAATTAACAGTGAAGTGTTTCCATCCCCGCTGAGCTTCGAGGGTCAGCCACCTCCCCTATTTTCCCATCTATTTTCTGATGCCTTCACCGCCCCTTTGCCTCTCTTTTTATACTATTTCTCACCTAACAAAATTATTCCTTCATCCCATATCTTGCGGCCATCTGTCCATCCCAAAACTGATTTTTTAGCACCTCACCCTAACACCTCATACGTTGGAATCTTCTTGTTACGCACAAAATCCCCCACCTAATCTCCTACTTGCTTCTCTTGGATTTCTTATTGTATACCAAATATCTAATGGTCTCATCACTAACCCAATCTCTTTTATCACATTGTTACTGACAGTCGAAAAGTACTCTGGTGGTGTAAATGCAATACTAATAAAGTGTTTAGATGAGAGTCAAAAGGTTTGATAGTGGGTCTTCACAGACTTGCAATTGCAGCATGTTGTCTTTATTGTTCATATATATGCACAAAGGATTCTAGCATTCAAACTTGTGATATTGCTTGGCAATGGAGACACAACTGTCCTGTTAAGAATATGGATAAGACTAATAAATAACATATATATGAGTCTCATCTCCTTGTCATTTCCTTTTGATTTTTCAGAGAGAGAATTATGGAATTCAAATTTCATTATCAAGTTCACTGTCTCCTCATCTCCTTCTTGCATGCTGGTTTTGAAGTTGATTCAACAATTATTTGCAACCCCAAAGAGAGTATTGTCTTGCTCCAATTTAACAACGCCAATGCATTTGATGTTAATGTGTCTTCTTCTGTTAAATATCATTGTAATCCTAAGACACTCTCTTAGGTGATGAGACATCCCACATTGCTTGGGAAGGAGGGGTCTGAGCTGGTTAAATACTAAGGGATTCCCCCAAATGTCAAGATGTGTTTTGGGCTTAACCGAGGGTGTTTGGGCCAAAAAACAAAACCGTGAGGGGGATGTGTTTTGAGCTTAAGCAAGAGTTTTTGGGCCTAAAAACAAAACCGTGAGAGGTTGGGCCTCAGAGTCGAGCCACCCAAGTTGCCAAAGCGGACAATATTTTAATAGTATTGGACACAATATCTTGATAGTGATGGGTCGGCTGTGGGCTGGGTTGTTTCAATTGATATCAGAGTCAATCCCAACCGGAAGTGTGTAGGGGTGTTACAATTGGTATAAGAGCCAATCCAAGCCCACAATTGGTATTAGTGCCAATCCCAATTGGAGGTGTGCGGAGGTATCAGAGCCAATCTCAACCAGAAGTGTACGGATGGTCAAGAGGTCTCGCCTGACCGAAGAGGGATCGCAGTGAGGACATTGGATTATTTGAGAGCCCCGGGCGGGGGGGGGGGGGGGGGGGGGGTGGGTGTGGGCGGGGGAGATGTTGTTTGAGGGAAAGAGATACCTAAGCTAGTTAAATACCAAGAGATCTCTCAAATGTCAAAATGCATTTTGGGCTTAAACAAGGGTTCTTGGTCTTGAAAACAAAATCGTAAGGGGTTAGGCTTTGAAGTCGAGCCACCCAAGCTATCAAAGTGGATAATATCTAGACAGTGTTAGGTCGACTATGGGTCGTGGTGTTACAGGTGAAGGGTAGAGATTGCTGCTTATGGGAAGGAGTAACCTGTCATAATGTAGCAGGTAAGGTAATTGGGTTGGACCTTAGTTCCAGTTGTTTGAGTGACACCATCCTCAACAACAACACTCTCTTCAAACTTTCACACCTTAAAACGCTTAATATTGATTATAATCAATTTGATGTTTCCCTATTATTATCTGCCTTTGGTTGGTTCAAAGATTTGACGCATCTTAACCTCTCTCTTTTTGGATTTTCTAGCCTCATACCTTCTAAAATATTTCACCTATTTAAATTTATTTCACTTGATCTTTGTGATTCCTATGGGCTGAGCTTTGAGCAACAAACTTTCGCGTTGCTAGTCCAAAACCTTACAAGATTAAGTTTTCTTTATCTGAAAGATAAAAATATATCTTTGGTTTTTACTAATTTGCTATTGAACTTATCTTCTTCGATTACATATCTCTCACTCGACATACTGACTGGAAGGGAGAACCGCATCTGATGGTTCTTGCCTACCAAACCTTCACACACTCGATTTATTTGCCAACATTGTGTTAGGGCCAAAAATCGTCTTGAGCATGATGAGACCCAATAACGAAATAAACATGTCACGGCCCAAGGCCTCAGCCCAATCCCAATTGGGCCTATGCTTAAAATCACCTTGTGAACTACCCACTCTATGAGTTGAGCTATCCTATAAGTTAAGCTAAATTGGGTTTCAGCCCATTAGCTTGCAACAGTCTATAAATAGGAAATCAGAATCCCATTCTATTTCCTCTTCTACTAAGATTCCAAATCTTACTCAAACTATTAAACTTAACTTGATAGGGGGCGTTTGGTTGGGGGATATGTGGGATTATTGGGGTTATGTCATCTTATATTACTTGATTACCATGTTTGGTTGTCAAGCAATATAAGATACCGATAATCTTCAAATACCAATAGTGGTTACTATTGGTAATATCAGAGATAATCTGATTACCTCCATTTTCTTAGGTATTCTGAGATTACCAGGGTTATCTTTTTTTGTTACAATTTTATCCCTTATTAATAAAAATTTTGGACAATAATACCCCTACTTTAAAACAAATTTACATTAATATCCTATTTCAATTTTACCCTTGTTTAATTAAAATTTTAGACAATAATGCCCTTATATTTAAAATAATTTATAGACCACCACTTGATCCTAGCCACCACCACCACCACCACTGCCACCTAGCCACCACTGCCGACAGCGAGCCAACCACCACAGAACGCTGCCAGAAAATTGCCAGAGTCCCTAAATAAGAACGGGATTCTATGGGAGGCTTCTATATGGCCGTTTTCGGCCATATTGATGGTCTAAAACGGCCATATCAGGCAAGATCTGGCCGGAAATGGCCAGAACTATTCTGGCCATTTCCGTCCAGATCGATGGAACTGGCCATTAACGGCCAGGTCTGGGCGAGATCTGGCCATTAACAGCCAGGTCCATGGCTGTTAACGGCCAGATCTCGCCCAGATCTGGCCGATAATGGCCAGGGATCTGGCCTGATATGGCCATTTTCGGCCATCAATATGGCTAGAAACAACCATATCGGAGCCTCTTGGTCACGGCGAGGTACTCACGGGGACTTTCGGAAACTTCCGACGGTGGTTTACGGTGGCGGCAAGAGCTGGGGGTGATTTTGTCATAAATTAAAGTTTTATATAAGCGGGGGTGTTTTAGCTAAATCTGAAATATTGGGGATTAAAAGAATTATTCAAAAATTAATAATAAAAATAATATTATATTAATATTTAAAAGGGGGACAATTTAGTAATTTAAATAACATACCCACCAATTTATTCCCCATAACCAAACATATTAATATAACATACCCACCAAAAACCAAACACATTTTCTTAAAGATTCCCAGTAATCTTCCAAGGTAATATATCTTTCCAGTAATCCAACATTCCCAGTAATTTAACATTCCTGAACCAAACGCCCCCGTAAAGTCAAGAAATCATATTTCTGTCCTGCTAGGGATTATGTCCCAAAATAGGACTTAGTGTCCTACTAGGATTCCAACCCCTTAGATTCACTATAAAAACAGAGGTCTGCCCTCTCATTATGGGAGGAATCTCCCATAGTCAATCTATACTACTCAAAACCATTTATTTGCTCCTAAAGTTCTTGTTCTCAAGAACTCGACGCCTCCGCTGTAGTCCTAGCCTCCGACAAGACTCATGGTAATCATTCTTCTCCTTTATTCTTATCAAATAATCTCTTTTAGCCTTGCTGACTTGAGCGTCGGAGTGCCTACGGCAAACACCACCCCGGTGTTTTCCGTAAGCTTCACGCTTGTCCTTTCATGTGTGCTGGTCTAGTAGATTGTCAGTAGCCTCAACCTCATGGGATCAGACCCTATTTTCATGACGGTAGATTTTTTGCATCTATACGTTGATCTAATGGGAATTCTCCTCTTAGGTTGTTGGATCTCTCTCACACAAAATTTAAAGGAGAAATACCAGATAAAATTGGAAACTCAAAATTCTTGGAAGGAATATTTCTTTCCTATTATCATTTCAAAGGGCCAATTCCAGCCTCAATTGGGAACCTCACTCGACTCACTGCTTTGTCGTTCAATGGCAATATTTTAATCGGTCAAGTCCCATCATCAATACTAAAGCTAGAGCAGCTTACGGATTTTGGAAACCTTAATAAGATGTTTTATTTAGATATTTCATGGAATAATTTCAGTTTTCCTCTCCCTTATCACGTGAGTCGACTTTCATATGTAACAGAAAAGAACTTAGTACTTCTGGTCATGGTTTTGTATTTGAGTTGATGTCTTTGTCTGTGTATGTGTATGTTTGTTGAGCATGTTGTTGGTTTCAATTCTGGAAGTGTCTTTTTTTTTTTTTTTTTTTTATTTCAAATTGTTAATTTTATGATATTAATAAATCCAAAATATATACATTGTTGTAAAATTAATCTGAATTCCTAAGATGGAATAAAGTCTGCGCATGTTATGGCCATGTAACAGTACTGAATACATAGAGAAAACTGAGATTCATTTTGACAATTTCTTAGTATGATGAATTCAGATTAAAAGTAGAAACAAGTGTGTTACGCCTGGGAAATCAAGGGCTGACGTACGAAATCACGTGATG